CAGTGTGTTTTAGGGTCTTTCTGGTGCAGTGTGTGTTGGGGTCTTTCTGGTGCGGGGTGTGTTGGGGCCTTTACAAGGGTCACATCCAGACCTAGTGGAGGACGTTCTGTTTGCCCTCTGTGGCATCAGTGATTCTGCCTCTCCTTCTCCACTCAGATGCCTGGGCCTTGCAGGTTTCAGTCCTTGCTCCTGACCCTCTCGCTGTCCTTGCAGACCCTGTTCTCAGATCCCACAGCCCCTGAGATGCCTTAGTTATCACTGACCCCTGGGGGAGTCAGTTTTCTCCAGTATTTAACTTTGAAGCAAGGACCAAAGGTTGGAGGCAGGCAGGTTGGTGGAAGGTGTCATTGACCAACAGGTGGGGGCAGACGCTCTCAGGAGAACTTAGACCTCTAGGTCACCCTTGAAATCACATTTCTGGCCTTCAGCTGCCTCTGACCCCAGAAGCCAGCCTAAACGTGCAGCCACGGAGCCCACGGCCCCCCTCCTGCATCTCCCACTTGGGTACAGGCAGCATTTTGGAGTCAGCAAGGAGGATCCCATGACTCCACTCCTTCTGTTGCTCAGGTTCCAGGGCCCTGTGAGGTGAGCCCTCGATGGGTGAAACATGAGCCTTTGGCCTTTGGGAAATGTAGACCTTGTATGCAGGAGGCTTGTCTCCAAGACATGCGTGCTGTTCTTTCTTTATGGGAAGATAAACCCAAAGGCCTTCCGGTTTTTGACTTTGAAGGGGGCTTTCCCATTTCTTCTGGTTGGTCCCACGTGCAGGCTCTTGGACTAGGTTCAGCTACTGAGGTCTTAGGCTCCTTTCTTCATCCACCACCCCTCGCCCCCACACTTTCTTGTTTTCTTCTTCTTGATCTCTCCATCACGTTGGATGTAGTTGGATACAGACCACCACCATTCAGCAGCCCATCAAGGCCTGCTCTGGTCCAGACACCTGGTTTAGGGGGAGAGCTCACTGGGGCATGAGATGGCTCTTCTCTCAGGGGCTTTCTGGGAGAAAGGTCATCTGGAGTTGTCCAGTGGAACATGAAGATTCCTGGGAGGCCTGGCAGCCAGAGGCCCTTGTGAGAAACAGCAGGAATGATACCAATCCCAGCCTGCACTTCCCAACCACCGTTAGCCTCTCCATGGTAACAACTGGATCTTTTATTAAAAATAATTTTACTTATTTTTCACTGCTGGGTCTTTGTTGCTGCATGGATTTTTCTTTATGGTGTTCAGGCTTCTCAATCGGGTGGCTTCTGTTATTGTGGAGCACAGGCTCAATAGTTATGACACACGGGCTTCATTGCTCTGTGGCATGTGGGTCTTCCCATATCAGGGATTGAACCTGTGTCTCCTGCATTAGCAGGTGAATTCTTTACCACTGAGCCACCAGGGAAGCCCTTATGGGATCTTGATGTTACTAAATTATTAAGCAAAAAAAAAATCAGGCTTTTTAAATATAGAAGAAAATAAAATCTCCAACCCCAATGTCCAAATGATGCCTGTTGAATATTTGGAAAAGTGAACTTGCATACATGGTTAGAAATTTCAAACCAGACAGAAAGATACAGAAATGAAAAACTTTTGAGTGCATGTCCCACCTTGTTTCTTTCCCCAAACAGGAAATTCTAATATATTCCTATGCAGCTTTCCAGGAAAAGTTGTGTTTACACCATCATAAAGCTTTACCTAAAAAGGGACTCTGCTTTGTTTCCAGTTCTTGCATTTTTTTTTTTTTTATCCAGAGATTGTTTCTCCATCAGTAGATCTAGGTATAAAAAGACTTCAGTCTTTTTATATCCACGTGGATTCCCACTCTATAGACAGACCATAATTACCCAACCAATCCCCTTTTGATGGACATTTAGGTTATTTCCAGCTACTTACTGGGTAGGTTGTGTTTTAAAGGTTTGAAATTTCCCTGGTAAGCATCCTTCCCCCTCTTTCCTCCTCAACACCTGATCATCAAGAAAAATAGATCCCTTGGAAAGTTTCTAAATTCATTTTCACAGTTGATTTTTTTTTTTTCATGAAGTCAGGGACAGGAAGGTAACTGTCTGCTGTTTGCTTGTTGCATGGCCAGGCTCTGAAGGAATTCTCTCTCTCTCTCTCTTTTTTTTTTTTTAAATAATTAATATCTTTGGTTTCAGTGACTTTAAAAATTTTTTTAATTAATTTATTTTTGGCTGTGGTAGATCTTCATCGCTGCATGGGCCTTTTCTCTAGTTATGAAGAGCAAGGTCCACTCTCTGGTTGCGGTATGCAGGCTTCTCGTTGCGGTGTCTTCTCTTCTCGGGGAGCACAGGCTCTAGTCTTGTGGGCTGCGGTAGCTGCAGCACATGGACTCAGCATTTGGGGTTCCCGGGCTCTAGAGCACAGGCTCACTGGTTGTGGTGCACAGGCTTATTTGCTCTGTGACATGAGGGATCTTCCTGGATCGGGGATCGAACCCGTGTCTTCTGCATTAGCAGGCAGGTTCTTTACCACAGAGCCGCCCAGGACACCTGAAGGAGCTTTCCATCCACGATATCCTTTAGTTCCAGGAGGCCAGAATTACTGCCCCATGGTTTAGACAAGGAGCCAGGAGCTGAGAGAGGCCTCACTGCTCACAAAGGTCCCAGCTGCGTTCCCTGCACCCTGACCAGCCCTGGACCTTATGCACCGCTCCTCCTGTCCTAGGGCGGCTGGTTGTCCTGGACATCTGAGTCCACCCCGAGCTCAGCGAGTGCTGTCTGCGTCCATCCGTGTGAATGTCTGCTCTAAGCTTCTAACCGAGTGGTGTTCTGCTCTGTGTGGGGTCTCACTTTTCTGTTTCTGAAAGCTTCGGTAGCGTGCAGCGTGTAATTCCCTAGGAGTGAGTGGTAATCAGAGGAAGGAGTCACTTCATCTCAGGGTCCTAACCTACCAGGTCTGGGTCCTTCCAGAGAGGGTGAGGAGCATCCGGGGCTGCGTTCCGTCGCACAGCGTTCTAAGTGGGCTCTGATGGATGCTGTCTGTCAAGAGGTGCACGCCCGGAACGCTCCCGTCTCTGGTCTCTCAGTTCTTGGCATCTGTAACGCGCTGTCTGGGTTTCCTGGACAGTTAAATCATGTCTCAATTTTATCTGTCGTTTTTATAGATGAATAATCCAAACTAGGTAAATAAAAATTAATGTCTGGATTTGGATGCTAATTTAACTTTCAATTAGGTTTTGTTTTGAGCATTATTGAAATTAATCTGCGTTCTTGGAGCACATTCCACTTATTGGCAGGGTACAGTGGACCCCAGAAGACAGTAGGTGGCTGTTTGGGGTAAATTCAGATGGATAGACTGGATTGAGATAATGGAAAAATTTACTTTAAAACATTTCTGTTTTTCAATGACAAAGTGATGTCTGGATATCACCTGGACCCTGCAGAGAGAAAAACTCTTCAATCAGAATCCTGGCCTGAACAGATGAGGGACGAGTTTTGATCCTTGCTCCTTTCTGGACCTGGTTCATTTGCATATAAATACTATTTAAAGAGTGCTAAGCAGGGAACTGAGTTTGAGCTCCTGGCGAAGCACTATTACTTTATTTATTTATTTTTAAAAATTTATTTATTTATTTTACTTTACAACATCATATTGGTTTTGCCATACATTGACTTGACTCCGCCACGGGTGTACACGTGTTCCCCATCCTGAACCCCCCTCCCACCTCCCTCCCCATCCCATCCCTCTGGGTCATCCCAGTGCACCAGCCCAGAGCACCCTGTATCATGCATTGAACCTGGACTGGCGATTCGTTTCACATATGATAATTTACATGTTTTAGAAGAGTCTGGGGCTTTGGGATTGGGCTCTTGCAGGATCGAGAGCCCAGATTCTGACTGCAGCCAATAACTGTGTGATGTTGGGCAAGTCAACTAGCCCTTCTGGGCCTCATTTTTTGTCTGTAAAATGGTATTGATAATCCCTATATCTCATGGTTGCTGTAAGGACTGAGACACAGCTGTGTTTTCCACAATGCAGGGCCTGAACTGTGGTGACACACAGGCCTTTTTCTTTTCTCTTAGAAACCTTCGGGCTTTTTGGGGAAAAACCTCTTCCTTGGGGGCAGGTTTCTTTTGGGGATGAGCTTTAACTCATCGGTCATACTTGTTAGGCTCCCTTTCTAAAGAGAGCCAGCAATCTGGTTATATCTAACTCACCTTGCCTTTTCTTTTCTATTTTTATATTAGCAAGACACACTGGTGTTTCATTTCTGTTGTGATACATAGTTCCTCTTAAAATAAATATATTTAAATTGAAAGTTAACAATGACATCAGTGCGCTGTGGTTAAGACATAAATTGTGCAGATTGTAAGTGGTTTTGAATCCCGCTCTGTCACCTCCTGGCTGTGTGGCCTTGGGTGGGTCGTGTAACATCTCTGAACTTCTATTTCCTCATCTGGGCATAATTTGAGCATAACAACAGTACTATTCTCTGGGGGTTTTGTAAACTGTTAAGTGAGATAATATAGTCAGAGCCCTCAGAACAGCTTCGGGCACATAGAAAGTACCACCAAAGTATTAAGTGTTTCTGACCTTTGGGAAGCATGGAGCTGATGTGGGTCAAGGGCCCAGTGACTTGGGACTGTGGGCAATAAATAAATGCTGTTGTTTAGATTATTTAATAGTAATGATGATTTGAAGAGCTGACTCATTTGAAAAGACCCTGATGCTGGGAAAGATTGAGGGCAGGAGGAGAAGGGGATGACAGGATGAGATGGTTGGATGGCATCACCAACTCAATGGACATGGATTTGGGTGAACTCCGGGAGTTGGTGATGGACAGGGAGGCCTGGCATGCTGCAGTTCATGGGGTTGCAAAGAGTCGGACACGACAGAGCAACTGAACTGAACTGAATAGCTGTAATGATCAACAAAGACATAGAATTTGCTATATTGAAGGGAATTTCTTGGGGTGGAAACCTTCAGACAGCTCCATAGGAGCCGGCGAGACCCTGCTGTTCAAATCTGTCCATTGTCTTGATTCGACTTTCCAGGCCAAGCCAAGCATTCGGTGTTTCATTAAACCCACCGAGACGCTAGAGCGGTCCCTTGAGATGAACAAGCACAAGGGCAAGAGGCGGGTGCAAAAGAGACCCAACTACAAAAACGTTGGGGAGGAGGAAGACGAGGAGAAAGGGCCTGCCGAGGATGCTCAGGAAGACGCCGAGAAGGCTAAAGGTACAGAGGGTGGTTCAAAAGGCATCAAGACGAGTGGGGAGAATGAAGGTGAGTGCACGAGCCACCGCCAGCCTGCCCGCTGGGCCGTCCTGTGTCTGGTCCCCCGTGTGTGTCCCTCAGTGCGCCTGTCACTCCAGACACCTGTGTACCTCACTCTACACAGCCCGCCCTTTGGTGACAGCTGTGGCCAGATCCGTACAAGGCCTGCTTTCATCTGTGGGCAGCCTGGAGTGAGGCCCTGTCCTCTTAACCCCTGCTTCTGTTTCCCACCTGTCAAAAGAGAGTATTTACTTTGTTATTAAGAGAATGAAATGGGCTAATGCACGTAACATGCTCAGAACGGTGCCTGGTCCATGTCAGAAGTATCTCCCACTACAGTTATTTCACAACTACTGTCATTATTGTTAATAGTATGGTCATCTTTATCATTATTGGTGTTCTTCCTAATAATTCCGATGACCCAGGATGATGATTTTTGACTAAAGTCGTTATTGCCAGTGCACTGCAGGAAGAAAAATGGCTCAGGGCTGATGAAATTAGATGCTTTTCATGATTATGGTATTGGGGGAATCAAATGATGAAATGCAACCCCCCAGATTCTTACATTAAGATTTTTTTCAAGCCCTCATCTGTTTATAGAGTGAGGTACACTGGTGTTCGGTCCATTGGGGTCAGGGAACAGAATCGCTTGGTCCTCTTCTCTGCCCTTGTCGAGAATGATTCTGGTTTACTTTTCACCTCCTTCTTGTTTAGACTCTAATGCCTCCATCTGGAGAGCATTGTCAGCCCCGGGGATGAAGCAAGTTTGAACTGTTGCTTGTGTCATGGGCTGGGCTCGCAGCCACACAGATGGGGTCTCTGGCCACGGCCCCGGGCGCTCAGGGTGGAGGAGGTGGTGGGGTCAAGTGAGGTGGGAGCTCTGCCTGCCAGAGGGGAGCTTCCAGCACACCTCCTGGGACAGATCTGGGCTCTCCCCAGCTCCCGCCTGCGTTCTGCTCTGGCATGGGGGGAGCATCTCCTGTGAGCCCTCCCCTGGGTCCTGGGCTCACGGCGGCTCCTCTGCAGCCGGCTCTCCGGCCCATCAGCCCGGACTGTGCGAGTCCAGGCATCCAGAGCTGGAAAACGGAGCCTCTCAGTAAATCAGTTGACTGGGAACTGTTTTGTTAGGGGGAGTTTGCTGCAATTATGCAGCCAAAACCCGTCCCCACCCCCATCCCGCTGGCCCCATTCTGATGATCTTGGCAGCTCTCTGCAAATGCCACGATCGTATTTTGATGAATATAACCCAAGTGTTTCCCTGTTGCCATCAGCCCTCTTTTTAGGCTGAGATCTCCAGCATGCTTTTTTTTCTGTCAAAAGTGTGCAGTAAGCATCTTGGTTTAGGAATTCCTTTCTGGTTCAGAAAACCTTTGCCAGCAAATATCACTGTGGCGGGGAGGTGAGGGGCGGACACAAGGTAAGCCATACTTGTTTGCTCATTTGCATAATTTTGACTTTTTGTTCTAACTTGGAAGAAAATTATCTGGTGAAACTTTGGGTTTAGCTGTCCTGCAGCCACCCTGGGAGAAAATGGACGACTTCACCCCATTTCGTACACTGTGTTCTCATCAGTTTTGTTTTGGAAAGATGCTACCTCTTTTTGTTCCAGTCCTTTTAAGGGCTGCTGTCTAACCAGGCCGGGGCTGTGACTAACCATGGTGTGGACAAGGGCAGGCTTGGCCTCAAACACACAATCCAGTGACTCAACCGGGCAGCCTAGTCCTGGCGCACGGGGGCTGCAGCGGCTCTGCAAGGCTGCCGTCCACGCTTTCTGTTGGGGTCCAGGGGGTGGGGGTTCCCTCCCTGATGGGTGGGCTCCCTGCAGGTTCAGCCTGCCTGCCCTGTGCAGGGGACGCAGGGGGACATGCTCACCAGCCTCCAGGACCCTGTTTTCCAGGTGGTTACTTGGCCAGGTTGTGTCAGAAAGGGCTCAGAGGAATTTCCCGAGAGGCTTTGCTTGGCTGGTTGATGCTGACTTCAGGGTTCAGTGGGGTGTGGTTCTCCATGGCCCCCTCAGCTTTGTAGTGCCCTCCTGTTTTCCTGGCCCAACTCATCGTAAATAAATACAACTTTTGCAGGCCCATCCAGCAAAGAGACACCTAACTGGGCAGCAGCAGGTGTATTCTGGGGCTCTTTGAATTGTTTATTTGGCCTCTCAGTTATTCTCGTGTTTGAAGGTGTGGCCGCTGGGTGCTCTCTCCTTAGACTGTCTCTGTGTTTGGGTGAAACCACACAGCTGTTAATTCCTGTGACTTGGAAGGGTGTCAGGCGCATTTTCTCACTTGGTTTCAAGCCAGAGGACAGTGTCGATGGGGGAGATGGGAGATGTGACTTACGGTCCTGTCTCACTAGCCAGACCTACAGGTGCCTTGGAAGGTGTCCCCAAGCTCTGGACTTCATTGTCCCCATCTGGAAATTGTGACTCTAGGAAGTATAAAGACTTGTTTTTTTTTTTAAAAAAAAAACGTGAGGATATGTTAGGATTCTTGTGGTTGTAAGATTTAGATATTCAACTCAGACTAACTCACACAGAAAAGGCAATTATTGTTTGTCTAACTGGGAGGCCTAGGAGGGGCTGGACTTGGGTGCATAGATGACCATCGGCAACTCAGGACCCACATCCTGCCAAGCCACCAAATGGGGAGAGTGCTGCAACTGAAGCCTGGGAGCTGAGGCTCGCTCGTGCTGGCGGGTCTGGCTTGCCCACTCTGCAGAGGGCCGGCCGGCGCTGATTGGTCAGGCCAGATGTGCGACTGCCCCATGTGACGCCCTCAGAAAGAAACACATTCATCAGAAGAAGGAGGTGTGGGTGCCCAGCTCGCAGAAACAGCAGGTGCTCTCTTAGAAAACCACACTGTTTCTGTGTACTCCTCCGTTTCCCTCAGGCCAGCTGCTCCCTTCCTCTGTCTTATCATGTATTCTTTTCCATTCCCTTCCTGTTTTGAGATGGGACCTGTAGCTGTTTTCTCCTCCCAGATATTTCTCTGTAACATGGTGCTTCTCACATCGTCCCTGGACCTGGTGAGCTTGTTGACAGCCTTGGACTTCTTGAGTAAAGAGATGCTGGCCCCAGTTCCCCCTGCATACCCCGTCATCCCCTCTTCAGCAGTGCACTCTTTACTTTAAAAGGCGGCAGAAAGCATAGGAATAAAAGGGCATGTGGTCACAAGTCACAAGTCTGCCATGACCTGATTTGAATGTGGCATCGACTTGTTTTTTTTCGACAGAGGCAGCACCCAGAATTCACACCTCCTCCACTTTTAAGCCCAGACAAGGAAGTTGTGTGAAATGAATATGCAGCCCTGGACCCTTCACTCCCATCCCCAGTTTGCAGAGAAATATGCTCTGCCTCAGGCCCCAGTGATGGGCAACTCATTCTGAAACCCCCCCCCCCCAAAAAAAAATCACAGGACCTTTTAATTTTCAGCAATTGAGTGCTGAAAGGAAGACCAGGGTGCCCTGGTCCCTCTGGCCAGAGAAGTGTGCACCCAGATGCTCGTTCATGTCCTATTCTACCCTTCAGTCTGAAATGACAGTCAATTCTTTTTGGATTCAGTTAAAGCAGTAAGTTAATAAGTGGACCTGAGACAAGAGAATGTATTGTTTGAATCTCTTGGTTGAAAAATATGGGAAAATAGGCTTTTTGCCTATAAGGAAAAGTAGCCATCAATTTCATGACCTGATCTTCAAAGATTACTCCTCTCTTGAATCCCTGCAAGGGCATGGCGGGATTAGAACAATAGTGACTTTGAAGCTGCCAAGTTAGCTGGGAGTTAAGGAGTCCCAAGCTTGGCTTTTTTTTTCTTCCCGCTTCTGAAGTCTCTGCTGAAATGAAATTGAACCTTCTGGCCTCATTTTTGCAAAGCCAGAGCCAACCCCAGGCCTAACAGATTTCTGATGAGGGCGAGCCAGGGACTAGGTATCAGGAGGTCGAGGTCTCTGCCCCAGAGCTGCTGTGTGACGCTGGGCAAGTCATTGCGCTTTCTGTGCTTTTTGACCCATAGAGGGGCCTGTGTGATGTCAGCCCTCAGGTTGTCAGAAATGAGAACCTTTAGTGCTTCAGCATTTAGCAGGTGACACGTGAACACCGAATAGGAGCCCTGGCAAGACAGTGGAGCGAGGAGCCCAGAGTGGGACTTGAGCTTGGTTGGGGGGACGTATGCTTGGTCACCCTGGCAAGTTTCTTTGGGTCCTACTTCTCTGTTAATTTCTATAAGGAACAGTGAGGTGGTTGAGTATGTGTGTGCATGTGTGTGTGTGTGTGTTTCTGGAGCAGGGAGTGGGAGAGGGATGGGAAGGCTGAGCCACTGGAGGTGTGGGAACACCACCTTTTCCAATGGGCTTAAGGAGAAAGATTGGAGGTCAGTTTAGACAAATCCTCTGGAAAGCAACTTCCCAGGAAAAAAAAAAATTCTGAATTCAATCTTGTGCTAGCCAGTGAATAGTATTTTAGAAAGTAAAGGAAGGGGTACCACAGATACTCAGCACATATGCACTGTGTCATTGCCAGGCACTGCTGGCCTCTTGGAATTCTGCTCCAAAGCCAGCCAACAGCATGCAGTCCTTCCCATATCTCCTAGGTAACCAGCAAGGGCATCCTTTTCCTCCTCTCCATAACCTTCTTTCTAAGGCCTTCTTATCATCCCCTGCCCCTCTTTTTATCATCTGGCCTCGCCGTGATGGCTGGAACATTGACCGCAGAGGGCAACTGAGAAAATCCTTGCATTTGTCAAGTCAAAGACTGTTGGGAGGTCAGGCCTGCCATTTCCCTGAAAAGCACTTCATTTACCAAATATTAATCAGATTAGAATGCCCATCACCCTGGGAAGTTGATGAATTATGGTTGTTATTTAAAAAAAAAAAATCCACAGTGACAGAGTACTGGGACAGCTTAGGGATTTGGCCGGAGTTGTCACATCAGGGGACAGAGGTTGACGTCCTTGGATCCTGAGAGTCTGCAGGCCTCTCCTGCTCGTTCAGCGATTTGCACAACCATTACTGCCTTCGAG